TTTCCTTCCCCATACCCTATTACCTTGTCACCAGGGCTTCAGTATAATAGTAAATTGTAACTAAAGTTGCTGCAAGACATTAACTCTATTCATAAGGGTGCTGTTAGGGAAAACCTAAGAGCAATGGGAAAAATAAGCAAAACACTAAAGGAAACTGAGTCCTCCAGCTCCTACAGTACTGCAATAATTAAACATAGCCGACCTCTCAGATTAATATAAAACCACACATCAAAAGTCTGTTTGCCTCAGTTCCTGTACGTAGTATCTAGCATTTAATTTCAAAAGTTATAAGTTATAAGGTGCTAAAAGGCCAGGAAAAAAAGCAGTCTGAAAAGATAAAACAAGCATCAGAACCAGACGGAGATATGACACACATTTTGAGATTATCAGATAGGAAATTTAAAGTAACTGATTCATCTGTTATGGATTCCAAAGAAGCAAACAGATAACATGGGTGACTAGATGGGTAATATAATCATAGAGGTGGAAGTTCCAAAGGGAAAACATGCTAGAAACCAAAAGCATTGTAACGGAAATGAAGTTCAATGAAGTTCACTTGGTGAACTGGACACAGCTGAGGATTAGTGATCTTGAACATAATGTCGGTGAAAACTTTCCAGGCTGAAATGGAAAGAGAAAAATAAAAGCAAACACAATACGGAGGAACTGTGGGCTAACTTAAACAGTTATAACACATTATTTGACTGCCATAAGAATAAATAAAAGAGAAAAAAAAAACAGGAAAACTAATAAAAAGTAATAATGGCAATTTTCCCCCAAACTTACGATAGACACCAAACCATCTTGTAGGAAATGATAGCAGTTTCTCTGAAAGTAGGCAGTGACACGGGTCAGAATCTTAGGGTTCCAAAAAGAAAAAAGAGCATTAAAAAAGGACTAAGTATGGGCCCTCCCTGGTGGCACAGTGGGTTAAAGCACAGCACTAAGAAGCTAAAGCCACTTCCGCATGAGTTTGATCCCCATCTGCCCTGGAGGTGACCCACATACTGTGGCAGACCTCTCCTGACCCACCTGCTGCTCCCCTCAGCAGTGTACTTCGTTGATATGACTGTTCTGCTCCCCACTCTGTCTCTGGTGAAGCCTCTCACTGCCCCTGCACCTCTGGCCATACCCTAGTTCTGTATGCACAAATAAGTAAATCTTTTTTAAAAAAAAGCACTAAGTGAAAAGATCAAATCTCTTCTTTTTCTTATTCTTAATTGAACTAACATAATAGTTTGTTCATAATAATAGTAACAAGAATGTACTTTTGTGATGTTGGTAATGATAGCTTAAGGACAAATTTAAAACACAGTCAAGAAAAGACGAACATCAGAATTGGTTCCCATGTCTTGGCAAAGAGAATTGTTCAACAGGTTAGAAAATTTGAAAACTAAACATCCATTCTTCCAAGCAGGTGAATGTCATTTATAAGGCTTTTTGGTTTTTAAAAAGTTTCTTCACTATTTGACGATTTTTTTTTTTAAGATTTATTTATTTGTACATACAGAACTGGGGTACAGGCCAGAGGCTCAGGGGCAGTGAGAGGCTTCACCAGAGACAGAGCTGGGAGCAGAACAGGCAGATCAACGAAGTATACTGCTGAGGGGAGCAGCGGGCTGGTCAGGAGAGGTCTGCCACGCCATGTGGTCACCTCCGGGGCAGGCGGGAATCGAACTCATGCGGAAG